CCTTTTTGTGAATGTGGGCAATATGGGGACTTAGACCACATATTCCTGGAATGCCCAATTAACGGGGGGGAAATCCCAGATCTCTATTTGCAGCTACACAAAGCGGGAATTGAAAGGCCCTTTAATATGGCCACAGTCTTACAAAAGACCAATAAAGTAATCATTGACATAATTTTAAGATTTATAAACCTAAATAAAATCGCGATTTAGTTTGCAGCGGAAGTCATTAATGTTAAAAAAAAAAAATAAAAAAGATAATAATAAATAAAATAAAAATAGTAAAACAAAAGTTCAATTTAAAAAATAAAAAAAAAAAAATAAATAAATAAATATAAAAGTAACAACAAATATCAACACATAACGATCGATCTAATAGAAGGGAGCGGCAATAGGATCTCCTAGACTCGCCCCTCCCCAGCTACAAACAAAGGCGTCAGCTGGCCAAATCCCGGAAGGGAAAAGCCAAAAAAGAATAAAGAAGAAGAAAGAAGAAGAAGAACTAGGATAACTTTTTGGTGGCCCAAATGCCAACATCAAAATGTCAACTGCTGACTTTTGGACTGTCCAAAATGTTGCATTTTTGTTATCCGAAACTATTACTAATGTCTGTTCTTTGCATAACTTTCCGATGTACAAAATGTTAGCCTATTGTTATCTAGTGACAGTCCCATTGATAACCTCATAATGATGACGTATTGCTATCCAAATAAAGGATGCCTAAATAGCTACTTGTTTGTTATCTGAATGTCAACTTATTGAGTGCACAATACTGTAGCATAATGTTAACCAATTGCTAGCATAAGAGCCGTTTCACATGCGACTGATAAAGTCCTGACGATCAGTCCTGATGGTCAGTCCTGATGACTAGGGGCCATTGTTTAAATGAACTTTTTCACATGCACTGCGTATCATCGGTTGACTGATTCGTCGGCACGGGCATCGGGACAGCCCGTGCGCACTGCGTACCGTCAGGACTATTAAGGGCTGTTAGTTATATGGAGTATTTCATATGGTACGTACGGTCAGCAGAAACAGTGTTGCACAATAAGTAGTTTACGCATTGATACTGAAATTGTAATAAATAGCATCGAACAGCGAAGATGCATCTGGTATGCAGATGATGAGAACTACAAAAATAGGGATGCAAAGAACAAAGCATTTGAAGAAGTAGCGGAAATAGTAGTTTCGGATTTTAAAAATTTTGCGGAAGCAAAAAAGAACTTTTAAAATTTTGCGTTGTATTATTCTCTTTATCCAAAAAGCGGCAACAGCGCAGTTCTGGAGGCGCTGAGAACCGTCTCGTAGTAGACATTTCCGTACTATACGTTGCTTGTGAAACAATGGCCATGACCGTCAGTCCGTATCATCAGGACTGATCGTCAGGACTTTATCAGTCGCATGTGAAACGGCTCTAACGAGCGTCTAGCCGTCACACCTGCAGAAATGTTTTTCTTAAGCGTCCGCCCGAGTCCCACCGCCTGACGAGTCCTGGTGATTCCCGCCTGCGCATTTCATAGCCCAATTGACAGTTATTCTGTCATTCTGGTTATTCCTAACCCAAGAAGTTTTTCGTTTACAAAGTTTTTGTTATTTTATTACAAAGTTTTTGTTGTTTTATTAGTAATTATGGATAAAGATGGAATTCAAGAGGTAAGTGTTATGTTAAACAATTTAATATTGAATTCTTTATCGTAAGAAGTTAATATGCTTTTAAATATTTAACATTCTTGCAGACAGAAACTTTATTTATATCAATATAAACTAAGTAATTATAGGTATTCCCTTCATAAATTAAATACTTGTGTTCTTCTTATGTTAATATCTATGACAAAACTATCATATAAAAAGCATATATAAGGTATACCTGCCTATTGTATTTACAGATGTTGCCCCTAACTTTTCCCACAACTATAACAACGGTGAATGATATTGGACAGAATTTAAGTTTTGAAATCAAAGTCGAATGTGAAGCAAAAGATTTTGAAACCTGGTTAAAAGAGTTTGAAAATATAACTAAAACAAATTACACGGTGTGTATGCAATATATAATATAATCAATATGTTTAACAAAAGTATACAATTACATATATATATATACCTATGTATATATACATACACAGTAATATCAACATGTTAAATTATATTTTCTAATTTTGTAGATTAGAAATAAGTCCTGTAAGGGACAGTTATATGAGAGAAGTATATATGCTACCTGTCATCATAACACATATGGAAAGTTGCCTGATAAAGAAAATTTTAAATATGGGTCAAAAAATACACAATGTCCTGCAAAGATTCAAATGAAAAAAACAAGGCCTTTGTTGGATTGCCTTAATACATATACTTTGATTACAGTTCGATTTAACCATAATCATCCAATTCTGGCTGCTGATTCATTAAGGTTTCGAAAGCCATCTAAAATAGTTGAAGAAAAGTTCTTAAAACTTTTTCAGAGTGGACATACCCCAGCTTCAAGCATTCAAGCTCATAATTTAGACATAATTTTAGAAAACCCAGATGGTTATGAAGTAATTCTTTCGGACAATAGTTTGAGTCCAAACTATCAATGGGTCTATCGTCTTCACAAAAAAGTAGCAAATTCTAATTATGGAAGCAGCAGTTTAAGTAACATTAAACAAGCAGACCTAATTAAAAAATTAGCTTTAGAAAAGGACTGCTGTTGTAAAATTGTTGAAGATGGGGATCAGGTAGGTATCTATTTTACTTTGATAATTTTATTCTCAACTTCATAAAAAGATATATATCTCAATAAAATTCTAATAAGTATTAAAGGAGTTGTGGGAACATTTTAAATATTTAATTTTACCAAATGATTTTTTAAGTCAACATTTTACAGGTAGCCATTGTATTGGTCACTAAAATGATGCTACGTATTTCTTTAATGCCTGAATTAGGAGAATCTTGCTTTATAGATTCTAGTGGAGGTGTAGATCGAGATGGCACTAGATTTTTTATATTGCTAGGAAGATGTCATGCAGGTGGTGTACCTTTGGCAGTTGTGCTGGCAACTTCTGAAAATCAGAATATATTGGCTGGTGCTTTTAAGGCCATACAGGTAATGAAAAAAATTAACATCTAAAGTTGCTTTATAACAATACTTTAATTTTAAGGAATTACTTCCCAAATTGGCTTTTGGAGGAAGGTCTAATTTAATTGGTCCTTTAACATTTATGACTGATGATTGTACAGCGGAAAGAAATGCTCTGAGACAAGTTTGGCCCAAAGCTGCTGTCTTACTTTGCACCTTTCATGTGCTACAGGTAAACTAGTCAAAGGTTTAAGGAAGGTATTACTATCTATTGTTTAAGGCACTGTGGAGATGGTTGTTTGATAAAAAGCATGCTATTGAGTTAAATGATCGTAGTCACCTGCTTAATTTATTTAAAGTAATTATGTGTGCACCTACTGAGGAACAATTGGAAAATCTTTACCAGGGTTTATTAAATGACACTTGTGCAAAAAAGTATCCTAATTATTTGAAACATATAGAGTCATATGTGAACCGTCGAACTGAATGGGCCTTATGTTATAGGAATAAATTGCTAGTTCGAGGAAATAATACGAATAACATCTGCGAATCAGCTATGATGATAATGAAAGACTATATACTTCAAAGAGTAAAAGCATACAATATTGTTCAGGTATATTATGTGAATTAAATACAGGTTTAAAATTATGATTGTATTACTTTTTTGTAGGTTGCAGATTTTGTTATAAGTCGTTTAGATCTATATTTTGAGCAAAAAATACTTAAAGTTGCATTCAATAGATTAACAAGCACTTCACTTTGCAAATTGGCATTTCTGGATAATAATGTTGAATTTGCAAAAGACAAAATTATTAAGGTTTGCTAAAATTGTTTTTTTTATAATAGATAGTATAATCCATAATGCCATTTTATAGGTAGAGAACAACATCTATTCTGTTCCTAGTGAAAAAAGTAGCAACAAGAGGTATTCTGTTAATATGGACCTTGCTCATTGTGAATGTCCTATAGGAAATGATGGCAGACTTTGTAAACACCAAGTAGCTGTTGCTAAGTTTATGAATGTAACCAACCAAAATATAATGCCTTTAAATGATCCAAAACAAAAACAATATTTATATTACATTGCAACTGGCAAGGAAATGGAAGAAGAATTTTTTCATTCATTAAGGACACAGATTAAGGTATAATTTAACAATTACACAATTTTTATTCATATTTAATAATTTTAGCAAGAAGGCAGTTGTAACAAATTGACAATTTCTGCTAGTAAATCAGGAAACATGGATAATAGTTATATTTCAAATGATGAAAGCAATCAAAATATACTTGACAATACTTGTTTTGGTGATGATGATGACATGCAAGTGGATATTGTTGATGAAATTTCAAAACAAGAGGCCCAAATGGTAATTTTTTATACATATCTATGTATCTGTGTATTACAGTGTGTTGAAGACAAAAAAAACAATTATTTTTTCAGACAATACTAGAAGCTGAAGAAAATTTAAAAAATATTTTTAATGATTTGCTGAACAAATCAAAAGAAAAGCCAGATATTTATTTGCCAGCTATACAAGCCTTTTCAAACAAATACAAACAAATAAAGACAGATGCTAATTTAATTTCATCACTATATTGTTTTGGTAAAGGATTAAATGGTATCTTCCTTAATAATTATTTATTTAAAAAGGTTATCAAATCTTTTCTTTTTAGAGAGCACTTCTTCAACTAATGTATATACAGTTAAAAGAAGAGGAAAAAAAATTCGTGTTCAGCCTACATCTGTCTCTCGTCGACGTAATCTACATTTAGGAAGAGGAACGTCTTCCTCAATTAATATTGGGCGACCACGTAAACATAAAGAATTACAAGAACATAAATATGCAAGTCATCGTCAACTAAGTAAAGCACCCCACAGTTTAGCTAGTTGTGTTACTAATAATATCAGTATTGGTCGTTAAAAAAAATAGGCATTAGAAAGGGAAATTTTTTAATGATATTTTTTAATATGTTTTTTTTTATTTGAAATATTTGAGAATGTCGAATCACAATGGTCGCATTTGAACCGTACACCTTCATGTATATTAAAATGAGCCTTTAAATCTGCAGGACATATAAATTGTTTGATACATTTTGGACAAGAAATCAGCCGTTCTTTGTTGTGGACAAAACGTTGGTGTTTCTGAATCCCTTCTGGAGTTTTGAAGAGTTTTTGGCAAGTTGGGCATTCTAAGTTCATACTTCCACATGTTTTGCTGTGGAATCTTAGACGGCATGCAGCTTTAAAATTCCGACCACAAATGCTGCATAAATGCTAAAATAAATAAAAGCATTACGAAAAACGTTAAAAAACAGGCAAATGAAATTACTACCACCAAACATTTTTTTTTGATAATTTTACTTATTATTTTTTTGCACCAAATTTATATTTTTGTTTTGTTATTAATTGTCTAATTCACCTTGGCCAAAAAATCTAATTAATTTGTAATTTTTATCAATACATATATGTATTGATCAAAATTACAAATTAATTAGATTTTTTGGCCAAGGTGAATTAGACAATTAGACAATATTATAATATGTATATTATACATATTATGTATCAATAAATAATATAATATTATTCTCTATTGAAAATAACATACAATAAGTGTTTAGTGGTTTTACTTCCTTTTGTTATCCTTTTTATTTTGTGAATACCTGAGCATACCATATACTTGTACAGCCAATAATATATTATCTAATTATTTACAAAAAAAATATTGTTTAATTTTAATATGACCCATTTACCTTAAAATTTGTATTTCATAAGTGATTACTCAAAGCAACTAAATGTAGACCAATGTTTATATATATCCTATAGATATAAATATAAAAAGTGGATATTATTTTCAAGAATTAAATGGCCAGGATAGTACATACATGTACTATCCTGTATAGTTTCGATAAAAAGCATACATTTCTTATAACTACCAAAAACCATTCACCTTTTCTTTGCAATAATTAAGTTGCAAACTGTATATATACACTTTGCAACTTAATTATAAAGATTAAAGCAGTTTTCTTAAAAAATATGATTTTTTTAATAACCATTACTTTCAATATTTATCAGTTTAAAAAACAAACAATATTTTTATTAAGAAAACAGATGTAATCTTTCTGTTTAAACAGCTAATATATATTGTAGCATAAATTTTGACACAACCAAGATAAAAAATATAGACCACCCTAAACCATAAGTACCGAAAAATTATTCTTCACACCAAAAATGGCAACAAAATTAAATTACCTTTTTCTGAGTTTTAATTCTTTTTCCTAGAAAATATAAAACATTAATATTCTGAACATACAAAATTTTAAAATATATTATATTATATATATATATTTCCTATTTATAAAAACTTACTTGAGGTCCATTATGCAGAGTGGTTTTAACAGTCGCAGAGTTGTTCGCACATAGGACTCTGTATTCCTGACAACAAAATAAATAAATTTATTACTTATAATCCAGGGTTATGTCAAAGGTTTATTTAAATAAGTTAAATTATTACAGAACCACTTACTTTTTTTTTCTTTTCTTCTAATTCATGCCATGTTTTAGCTGCTTCCACTGATTTTTCACTAAAAGTGAGATACTTGTTTTCTGTTTTCTAAAATTTAGAATATATATTTTTTAAATAGGTCGTGTAAATGAAAACCATGTCAAGTGCATTTTTACATTTAGGTAGATTTACTTTAGATTTAAATATTATTTAAGTAACTACATACTTTTCTTTTATTATACCATAGAGTATGCATTATACCCACAATTGGATTGTAATTATACCTACTTGTGAAAAATCCGAAAAATATACAGCATAACAGTTTTTTTTCTTCGATTCCATTATATCAAAATTAATAAAAAACAAGCAAACACTTCTTAAAGTTTTCTTTGGTTAGGAATTGGGCTACGAAATGCGCAAACGCAAATCGCTAGGACTCGTCAGGCGGTGGGACTCGGGCGGACGCTTAAGAAAAACATTTCTGCGTCACACCTAGAGGAGGAAAATATCAAAACGAAGTAAAACGAATATTTACGATTGAAGTCGAACTTTTAAAAGTACGCGGGAAAAAATAAATGATCATGTGCACTGCAGTGATGTTACCAACTATAAGGAAATACGAAGAATTTAAAAATTAAGTACAAAGTTACGTTTATAAACTTTACCATCCAAGAATTCCCATTGAATATAATTGTATGATATTTTCTTAAATTATGCTATTTTACAAAATAATGCACAAGGTATTTAGTTAATGACATATTTACTTAAATAGAATACATTTTTACGTACAGATTTTAAAAACCGGGTTAATTAATCATTTTTTAAAATGCAATGTGAACTACGACTTTTCCACAAATTATATGTGCATAAATAATGCAGCATTATCTATATGTATAATAATACACAAAATATTGTTGACACAAGAAGGCATTTATTTGGAATTGTAACTGTTTTGTTTGATTCGGTTTATGTAAAAATTTAAAATAAGTTTATATACACATTGTTTTTGTTTTATTATACCTATCATGTAGGTATTTATTGTAAGTAGGTATATTTTTTAAATTGGTAATTCAGTTTAGGTAAGAATCTACATAATAATGTATAAATATGACAATTACTTTTAAGTTAGTTTAAGATAAAAAGATCTATAATTTTGAAAAAGGATCATGTTCTTTAATAAATAAATAATAATGTTTAAACGAATTTTTATTAAAGTATAGGTAGGTAAGTACAGGTAAAGAGTTTTATCTTATGTGTAAATAAATTTTTAATTATTTCAGTTAAATTAAAGAAAAATTAAATCATTTGGTTTTGCATCAAAAACTATAGTTAATAATTATTGAACTAAACATAAAAAATAAATCATTTGGTTTTGCATCACATACTAATAATTATTGCACTAAACATAAAAAGAAAAATCAAATAAATTATTATTTAGCATCAGCATTATAAAATAAAACATTTGGTTTTGTATCACAAACTAATTATACCTACATAAAAGGAAAATCAAATAAATTATTATTTGGCATCAGCATTATGAAATAAACTTATTGAAATATTATTTTTTTCACTCTTCGATGGTTTTTTCAAACTTAATTTTTTTGTAGATTTTTTGTTTTTGGTTGAGATGAATTTCTTTTTAGGCTCATTCTCCTTTTCCGGCACCCTTTCTGAATCTTCACTTAACTGATTTGTATTTCCTAAAGCATTTTTTCGTTTTTTTCCTCTTTGGGGTTCAATATGTTTATTTGAAGGTTCTCTTTGACAAAAGTCAGTATTTATAAAAACATTGCTGCCATAAGATTTGCTAGATAAAACATGGGGCAGTGGCAACAAAGCCTTTTCCACGAACTTACTTTCTTCAACAGTTGTAACCATAGACATAATTTCATTAAATAGTCTTATTGTGTTAGATTTTGCTGCATCCACATTATTATTTAAGTCATGAGATTCATTCGACAAAGGATTTTTGAGGGACCTTAAAAACAGTAATTGTAATGTATAGTTTCAATCAAAAAATGTTTCACTTACTTCAATATAATATTTTCCTCCACTGTTCTGGGATCACAATCAATTACCATGTCACCAATATCTTCTCTTTCTTCAATTGTACTAAGTTGTCCTTTGAGAAACATCCCCAATAAATGAACATGTTTACACATATTCCACGAAATTGAAGAGTCTGGACAAGAACAACGATAAGAATGGATACAAATAGCACATTGGGTACATTTTATGTTGCAGTTGCATATATACCCACATTAATACATAAAATCAACTCACCTCTGTTTAAAGTTATAAGCCTATCGCGAATAAAATTTAGAATAGCATGCACAGCTTTATCCAGTCTTTTTACTTTTCTTCCTTCAAGATAAATATATTTTAACACTTTATGCATACTTTCTAGGTGCATATTGGTGTTTATACCTGAATATAATCTGTAGCAGTATGCCCATGACATCTTATTAGCACAATAGTAATTTTCAAAGTATTTTCCAAATTTACTGAGCTTTCCGCGATCATCTGCAAACATCTGCTTTTAACTGCAAACCTCTGCTTTCATCCGCGTTCGGTTTGTCTGCATTTCCTTTGTCCATTTACATAGGTCCTGTTTCGTACGCAAACGTCTGGTTTCATTCGCGCTTTTTGTTTTCCTTTTTCTCGTGTATACTTTAGTTTAGTTTAACTGCTTTGTAAAATTTTACTGAGCTTTAACTAACTGGCACACAACTTTATAACTCTAAAAGGAATTATTTGAATAAAAACAACCTGTAAAGGAAATAAGTTTATTGAACTTCAATATTATTTGGTAAAATACAAATAAGGTCTTTGTTAAAGGACATAAATAGATATTTTTTAATCATTTTACATTTAAATTAATTGTTAGAAAACATATATGTTTAATTTCAAATACATTTGGAATTATAACATCTTCAATTTGTATGGAATTTGTTTGAAAAACACTTATTTAGGCGTAGAATTTTTCATCTAACTTTAAAAACTTTTTAATTTTTAAATTTAAATCTGGTGAATATAATTAAATTATTTTCCCATTGGGAAAATGTCGTGTTGAATAAACTTATTTCCTTTACAGGTTGTTTTTATTCAAATAATTCTTTTTAGAGTTATAAAGTTGTGTGCCGTGAACGGCTAAAAACCAGTTAGTTAAAGCTCAGTAAAATTTGACAAAGCAGATAAACTTAACTAAAGTATACACGAGAAAAAGGAAAACAAAAAGCGCAAATGAAACCAGACGTTTGCGTACGAAACAGGACCGAAATGGACAAAGGAAATACAGGCAAACCGAACGCGGATGAAAGCAGAGATTTGCAATTAAAAGCAGATGTTTGGAGATGTTCGCGGATAAAAGCAGATATTTGCGGATAAATGCAGGTGTTTGCGGATAAAATCAGATGTTTTCGATTAAAATCAGATGTTTGCGGATAAAATCAGATGTTTGCGGATAAAATCAGATGTTTGCGGATAAAAGCAGGTGTTTGCGGATAAAAGCAGATGTTTGCGTATAAAATCAGATGTTTGCGGATAAAAGCAGATGTTTGCCGATAAAAGCATATGTTTGCGGATAAAATCAGATGTTTGCGGATAAAAGCAGATGTTCGCGGATAAAATGAGATGTTTGCGGATAAAAGCAGATGTTCGCGGATGATTGCAGATGTTCGCGGATGAAAGCAGATGTTCGCGGGTGATTGCAGATGTTCGCGGATGAAAGCAGATGTTCGCGGATGATTGCAGATGTTCGCGGATGAAAGCAGATGTTCGCGGGTGATTGCAGATGTTCGCGGATAAAAGCATATGTTTGCGGGGGTGCACTAACCGGATGAAATCAGGCGTTCGCAGATAAAAGCATGTTTGTGGGTGAAACCGTATGAAAACAGATGTTTGCGGATAAAACCAGACGTTTGCGGATGAAAGCAGATGTTCGCGGGTGATTGCAGATGTTCGAGGATAAAAGCAGTTGTTCGCGGGTGACTGCAGATGTTCGCGGATGAAAGCAGATGTTCGCGGATAAAAGCAGATGTTGGCGGATAAAATCAGATATTCGCGGATGAAAGCAGATGTTCGCGGATGATTGCAGATGTTCGCGGGTAAAAGCATATGCTCGCGGATAAAACCAGACGTTTGCAGATAAAACCCGACAAAAATAGACAGAAAAAAATGCAGGTAATCGCGGATAAAAACAGACGTAAGCAGACGTTTGCAGATGATTCCGGACAAATTCAGATATAAACGAAACACAGTGAAGACGGTTAAAAACAGATGATTGCAGATGATTGCGGGGGTGCACTAACCGGACATAAAACACAACCAACCGGGTGTTTGCGGATATAGCGATGCGGACAAAAGCAGATGTTATCAGATGATATTTTTACCCGCTTTTATCTGCTTTTATCCGGCTTCGACGAAGAATTTATACCCGCAATCATCTGCTTTTATCCGGTTTTGACGAAGAATTTATATCCGCAATCATCCGTCATTTTCAGCAGGGTCAGTATACTATTGTACCTCAAGTTTAATTATACAAAGTTTATACAAAAGTGCTCTTTTAGTTCCACCCTTACTTCTTAAGAAGTCCCATAAGCCAACTGAATGGCTTCTGCCGGTTAGGGGTAGGAACGGACCGCGGGTTTAAAGTCCCCTTCGAAAGACTAATACACAATAGGACAAACACAAATAAACAGCCATACCCCTGGTGGGATTCGAACCCACGACCTCCGGCTTGTAGTCAGCAGCACTAACCACTAGACCACCGTCGGCGTGGATGGCATAATTGTCTAAAAAAATATTCTCCAATTGGACATAAATCACATCTTATTTAACATTTTTCATTTGACTTTATTTACAAATATAACAAAATCTGTTATTTTATAAATAACACGTTTTATTTTGTGTTCCAATTTAAAATTAAGTGCAAAAAAAATTGAGTATACGCACGAAATTCACCTTAAATACGCACGCGAAGATGCGTCCTCCCCTTGAATTTACCGTAAATGCACAAGTGAAGCTCGAAGTGAGTGCGCACGCATGCTAAAATTCGCGCGAAAAAATTGAAATTAATGGTGAATGCACATTTTTGTTCAGAAAACTTATTTTATTCTATAGGGGAAAATATGTTTTCTGAACATGCACCCTTATTTCATATTTTTCGCGCGAATTTAGAACACGCATGCATTTACGGTGAATTTAAGGGACGGACGCATCTTCACGTGTGCATTCACGGTGAATTCAGGTGTGCATTTAAGGGGCGGACGCATCTTCACGTGTGCATTCACGGTGAATTCAATGGGCGGATATGTCTTCACGTGTGCATTCACGGTGAATTCCAGGGGCGGACGCATCTTTTAGCAACCGTGAATTCACGCGTGAAACAATATTTTTCACCGTGCATTCACGGTGAACTCACGAATGTTATCTGGGTAATCATCAACAGAAAATCATCTTTTTGCAGAGTAGGAAAGTTGTCATCAAAAACTCCTTGTTTCTTATACAATCTGACTATAGAATCTCCACTATGTTCCTGGGTTTCTTTCACCCATGCATCAACACTAGTATAATCATTTGCGTCACGTATGGCATCATTATTAAGATTGTACATGCTTTCTATGTTAAGTAAATCTTTTCTTGTCAATAAGTGTAGCCTTGAGATATCATAATTAGAAATAGAGTTCCTTATTTTATTTAAAATTTCTTTAAAAGGAATTTTTTTAGCAATTTCTTGAGCAATTTGTTGTCGCTCCAGTTTAGATAAGGTTAGTCGGCCTATTTCCAGTTTGTGCCCAACATGACTATTGCAATACTGAACAGAGACTTTTTCGGTATTTTTGCAAACTGTTGCTATAATTTTGGCAGGGCAGTGTCCATTAATTTTATTGGTTCCCATGATTTTGAGGGCGCGTATATTTTTTCCCTCTGGTTTATAAAATCCATCACGATGGCAGCGATAGAAATATTGTATTTTATACTGGGATTCTTTTACTCTGTGCTTTATGTGTTTTGAACAGGCTTCTGTTTCTAATTCATCTTTCCACTTCTCAAAATCTGCCACCGTTAAGAAACTAGTTAATCTCGTAGAAATATTTATTTCATGAACAATGTTGTAATGACTGACAATTATAACTTTGGGTCCACTAAAAGTACACATTGGACAATTGTAAATTATTACTTCTTTGGGCTGAGAACGGTGAACTTGTTCTATATGTCGAACTAGATTGAATTTTTTGTTAAACTCCTTATTACAATGGCAGCAAGTAAATCTACCCTGATTTTGATTTTCTTGAGCACTATGAATAAATTTAAAATGTCTTAATAAATTAAACTTTTTAGTAAAAGTCTTTGCACACATATCACATAAAAAACTTTCTGGAGGCATTATTTCGACATGTTTTTACCTGACCTAACCTTTATAATCTGTGCCTGACCTACGACAATTTATGACGTTTTACTAAAACGGTTTTAGTGTACAGGATCCTGCTAGAATCTTTTACTGTTGAGAAATACGCGGGTGGCTCCATAGAGGGCAGCATCGTTTCAATCAGATTTCCTCCTCTAGGTGTGACGGCTAGACGCTCGTCTAGCACGAATATGTCATCCGAATGGTATCTTTTTGTATGCTGTGGAGAGGGCAGGGGAGAGAATCTAGAATAAATTATTTATTCATGCAACTAATGCGATATATGCTGATTTTCTTCTTCCAATTAAAATTTTACACAAAAAATTGTATTGATATAAATTTGCAATAATTATTATGATTAATAAGATAGTTTTTAATTGCATCTTGATAATATGAATTTAAAATTTACATCAATGCATTTTTAAACCTTCAATTGATAGGAGAGAAATAACATAATATTGCATCAATTTAACGTGAGCATTTTGTATAAATAATTTAAAATGAATTCTAACAATACAATTTATAGGTGAAATAACAAAATATATTCTTAATCTAAATTTATATACAAAACAACACATATTATTATCATACCATACCAATTCTTTGAACAACTTGAACTTGGGCATCATGAGCTTGTGCATAAGGTAAAACTAAAAGATCCTCTTGCCGCAAAATTTCGAGGCGTCGGAGTTGTTGTCGTCGTGTTAAATTTAAGAAACTTTTCTTCTTTCGCGGTTTTACACAGTCCATAATTACAATTTTATAAAATAATATTTGTTAAAATGCACATAACCTTCTTGATCGTCCTGATATCAGCTGACAAATTTAAAATAAACACTCACCAGTTAATTAAATAACACCACAAATTAATGCTAGCATTAATTATAGGTACTATACGAGCTCGTATAAATTAATTATTAATAACTATTAAACAAATAAATGATTTTATCAAAAATATCTTATAAGAATTGACACCAAACTTTCGCATGCGCAATAATCTCTAAAATAGCGGGAAAGCGCTTGACGAAAACTTGTCGTTATGCTAACTTTTTGTAAATTATCTAAAAGTTAACAATAAATCGTTAGCAATTAAGTAACGGCTCAAACGTTATCTTGGACTTGTC